AGTTTGCGAGCGCAAATTACTGCACGCAAAATTGGATCTTGATAAATCCGGCCCTAAGTTGCATATTTTTTAGCAGAGGATTTTTGTGTATTAAAAACTGAGACTTTTTAGGAGGAATGGTGGCTCATTTGAAAGTATAACCTGCTTTAGATCAGAGTATGTTCAAAGTTAATAAACAGTTTTGAGGATTAAGTAACTGTTTGTAAGAAGCACTTCCTTTTTGGTAGTCTGAAAAATAATCGCCTCTACACACGTGGACAACATTGTTGGAGCCCCTTGTTTAAATGAAATTTAAAAAGATATTACAACAAAAACCATTGCTACAGACCCTTCTTCTGTGGTTCATCAAGTCCAATGTTTTCTTTTTGTGTGGTTGGCTTGTTTTTCAAATATAATCTATTTGGGAGGGACATGGACTTGGTCCTGCATTAACATAAAGTCAGAGGAAGAAGCCATTACTCAGGGCGCAAATTTGTGTCAGGGACAAAGCCCTTTATTGTTAAAGGCCTCTTTTTGGATGTAACTAAAATGGGTTAGTAAGTATTAAGCTTGTTGCATTCTACACAAGAACAGAGAAACTGGTTCTTGTTGTTGTGGTGGAGAGAAAAAGAAGAAAAGTTTGAGTATTCACTGTTCATGAGAAACTCAGTGACCAAACTTATAGATTGTCCAATCGACAGTAGCTTACATCACATCACAGCAAAAAAGGTAGATAGATGTAAAAAAAAAAAATTGTTAGTAATATTGAGGAAAAATTGTATGAAAATGGTTGAACAAAATTCAGACATTGCTTTTCTTGTTCAACAAAATGATTTAAAGAATAAACTTGTGAATCAGGCCAGGACAAAAATGATGGCATCCCTGGAAAACTATGAAAATAATATGACCAAACGCACCATTTAAATCAAGGTGTGTCCAATAAATATTGCAACAGGAGTCTACAGTCTTTTAATCAGTCAATGGGCCTTTATATAGGGCTACAGGTAGTCACTGTGCTGTTTGGTGACATGGTGTATACCACACTCAACATGGACCAGAGGAAAAGAAGGAAAGAGAGGTAGAAAGAGAAAGAAAATAATAGACAAGCATGTGAAAGGTAAAGTTTATAAGACCATATCAAAGTAGCTGTGACTACAGCTTCACATATTCAGAAAATTAGAGCCGAAAATTATGGTAACTTTAACTTAATATTTAGTTTCACAACTTTCTGAGGCAATCTAACAATTCCTATGAATGTCCATGAGACCGTTTAACCTCTCAGTTGGCATTTTAGCTCACTACTTATAAAAGAACTGCTCTAGTTGTCTCAGGTTTGAATGGCGCCTTTACCAGATGAAATGTTTCAGCAGTTAACGGTAAATTTTTATTTCACACAGGCCGTGCAGATAAGAGTCTGATCAGAGAAAAGGCCCCAGGGAGTCTTCAGCCTCAAGACAAGAGTTTTTAAGCTTTCTTGAAACTGTTGAGGTTTTCTTTTTTATCAATTTAGAGTTTAAAGGGGAACGCCGTTTTTTTTTTTACATTGGGCCCTTGATTTTACATTATTACATCATGTTCTACTCACCCATATTAGCTTTGTGTCATTTGGAGCTGTTCTGAAGATATTCCGTTAGGTTAGATCCAAGTAACGTCTTCTTATGGGCAAATGACTTAAAGGCACAAACTGAATTGTTCATAATTTATTCTTTATGGTACGCCAGCATTCATAACACGTAGGCGAATCACTGTCCCCCAGACATCTGTCTTTATGTTTTTTTATATTTATATGTTTTAAAAACAAAGCCTTAAGACCCATGGTGTGATATCCCTCCTCCTGCATGCAGAGTCCACTTCGACCTTAGAATGCTATCATTTTATTGTAAACATTATTTCTTTACAAGGCAGTCATCTTCAAACTGCTGGAATTGAAAATTGAATCAAAAAAAAACAAAAAAACTTTTTAGTATCAAGAAACACCTCTTTGTCAAAAAAATACTAAAACTAAACTTTGCTCTTTGAGTTGGAATAAAAATCGAGGAAGCTTTAGGTGTTTTGTTGCTGTGGTGGGTTTTACTAATACGTTCACATGAAGGTGAGTGTTTCTGAGTGTCGGTAACTTTTGAGAAACCCTCCAATCTTCTCTATATTTAGACTCTTATCTCAGCTCTGCTG